AAATAATATGATCTACATTCTTCTTATCTTTATCTACAGTAATATGATCAAAGCGAAACAATAAGATGGAAGTGACAACATGACCAAAGCGAAACAATAATATAGATCAAATAATATGATCTACATTCTTCTTATCTTTATCTACATCTACAGTATACACATCTTATCTACATTCAAATAATATGATCAAAGCGAAACAATAAGATGGAAGTGACAACATGAAAATGATCATGATGAAATGAAAATGAGGAAACCTCATAAAATGGATAAAGACGACCATTATAACATAAAAGTAGTTGAACAAAAAATAAAAAAAAATTTGAGATGATCGATAATATCCACTCAAATAGAAGATGATATGAGTGTTTCCACTGCTACAAAGGGAGAAAAAGATATTGACAATTATAAAATACATTTAGGGTATTAAAAACATAAAAATATTTTATGAGAATTGAGAGCAATATTTTATTATTGACACTAGTAGCTAAGTTTCTCTAATGACATAATACTGGCTAATATTTTAATATAATTTTTGTGAGATCAATTGTCATCGGTTTGACAAATGACTTAATGTTCCAATGTTTATATCGTAACTCAAGTTGGGATTAGGCTGGAGCATTCCCAAATTGGTGAATGATCTTGATCACATTCGATGGCAACATCATCAAATCACACGTGGATCGCATCCGAATGATCTCGTGATATAATAATAGATTAAAAAAATAGTTAAATTTTGAATTGATGATATATTTCACTTACATTCCCCCGTGTAGCAGAAAAGCTAAGAGTGCAAATAATTTGTTGTCGGCACAAGCTAAGAGCCCAAATCAGCAATTAAAAGGAAAAAAGAAATAAGGCAAAAAAAACAGTGACGCACGCAGTTGAGGGCTCTTATTTGCACTCTTAGCTTTCCTGCTACCTTGAGGCTTCACTGAGTTCTCTCTTATAGATGCCCTGAACCATGTTGAAGTCCATCTTAGCCAGTTCAAGTAGAAGAGGGTTCATGGTGGCATCCCTCTGGTGCGCTTCTATGAACCACCTGGTGTGTAACCTATGCATCCGCCAATGCAGTGGAAGCTCCAAGGCGTTGGCCACCTGCTTTCTGAGAGAGAGAGAGATTAAAATACAAATCAACTGTATGGTTGATTGTGAGTGACTGTATGGAGTGTGGCGTCACAAAAGACATGGAGGATTTGGAGAGACATTATTTGGTTTGATTACTTCCAGAATCAAACTTTGAATGGGGTGAGGGAGTGGAACGTATTGACGTCATATAGCACGGTCGGCACATCTCTCTATCTGCTTTCTTCGCCATTTATGGTTGAGTCCAGCTGCATATACCCATTCACTAAGAGGTTGCATGTCTCACGAGTTAATATCCTTTTGAATGTTCATTCCAAGCTCTTGTTATAATAACGCAGGAATCTAATTCATGATTCGTACCCATCTTGCCACTTGCGTCCAAAATTGATTGATTGATTGACCGATCAATTGACTTTTTGCTGCTAAAATTACAAAAAATTATAGTCAAATTTATTTACTTTTCGATCCAATTAGCCAAATATAGGGCTTAGCATTTTCTCACTTCGGATGTGAATCCCTCCAAAAATGATTGATCGATCGATTGGTATTTCTGCTATCAAACATATAGACCGTCGTTAGGATCAAAATGATAGCATCTTAAATGATCTTTTTCTTCTATCTAGGCTATACTTAATTATTCAACAAAAAAGAATATATTTTTAATAATTTTGTATATCGACCTCAATATTCTCGTCTCAACGATATTAATTTTTGTATATGTTAATTTTTAATAATCTAGTACTCGAATTCATAAAATATTATTAATTTTGACAATAATCTTAAACTTTTTTAATATAAAAGATATTCGATGATCACGCAAATAAAAAATAGTGCACACGAATTTATATGATCTAACATTTCTCATCTATATCCATCGAGAAAACTTCAATTTTCTATCATATGAGAACAAGCTATAAGTTCACTTGAATTAACCATAACCCAGAAACAAATTCCCTTATACCTCTCATCGAGATTTTTTCTTATATTTTTCTCATTCTCTCTAAAATGCAACCATAATATCTTTTTACATTCTCATCCTACCAAAACCTAATAATACATGAGATATCTATAGTATAATCAAATCATAATCTTTTAGAATTTGTGTGTATATATATTCTTTTTACTTGAGTTTCTTATCCTATGAGGATATCTTAGTAATGGCAATTTTCACGTTTATTAGGGTTGCCATCAGTCATTAAAAAAATACCAAGTGATTGAGTTGGGAAAGGAAGGGATATGCTCGCCGGTTGTCTTCTTCTTGTGTTCTTATTGCGTCCTACATTTACTCTGCTTCCCCTTTGCTCATCATTTGGGTTTCTTGAATTTGCCATCATCATTTGCCATCAACATTCAACCCCTATATAGCGGTCTGTGTATTAGAAATCTTATGGTAAATAATGTCGAAGTTTTACTGGTCGACGGATGAGAGCAGAACGATCGAGGGTGAACCCCACTTTTCGCCTATCATCTTATTGACATTATTCGGTTTCTTATCATCGACGTAGAATAATGTATCTGCCGCGGACATTATGCGCACGCGTTCCACTGACAACAGTAGATAAGAGTTAATTAAGGGCGTGACAGATAGAGGAAGAGATGATATCGTGGATGATGGTGGGTCAAAGAGACAGTCATCTAAGATAAAAGATGGGAAGGAGGTGGCCATAGAAGCGATATGGTTGAAGCAACGGGACAATAGTGACTATGATGAGATGGATGTGATGGAGACAACCATTACGAAATTGAAGCAGCAGCAAGACAATTTTAAGCTGATCGGAGAAAAAGGCACTGACGATGATGAATTAGGGTATTAAAGAAAAATAATGACACCAAATGAAAACTGAGAGTAATACTTTAGAACTGGTAACTCGAGTTGGGAATAGGCTCGGGTTAAACCCGAGTTAGCATTCCCAAGTTGGTGAACGATCTTAATCACAACCAATGGCAACATCATCAAATCACACGGGGATCACATTTGAATGATCTCATGATATAATAATAGAATAAAAAAATAGTTAAAGTTTGAATTGATGATATATTTCACTTACATACCCCATGTTGAAGGAAGGCTAAGACTGCAAATAATTTGTTGTGGGTTGAGGTAGACGGGCAATGGCCACGCAACCCGATTAATTCCCTTGTTTTGCACATGATTTCGTGGGTACGGAGCCAAATGTCGCCGTCCTTTTCGACGCAATTAGATCTCGGAATCCAAGAGGGCTCTACAACTTGAAGCTCGAGGGTCTTCGTAAAAGAGACATGTGGGCAACCCTCATTGGCTGGCGCTATATGCTCAGTACATGAGACTGCCACTGTGTCTTTGCCAAACGACGCAAGTGATATTGACCACTCGTTTGCTGGATCACTATTCATCGTTCATCGTGGCGCCCACCGAGAGACGATCCACGAGCAGTTGGGACGATTCCAGCTAATTGCTACTCAATATAGATGAACACGTGAGTCATGCAGCCTCTTACTGGGGTGACTTCTTTGTCCCCTGGAAGATATCATATGGTGTTCCAACGTGTTTTGTTTGTGTCATTGCGTTAGTACACGCGTATATGCATGGAGTGAAAACCATAAAGCAGATAGAGATGTGCCGACCGTGCTATATCACGTCAACAAGTTCCACTCCATATATATATATATAAGAGATCCTTCTTGCATCCCCAAAAAACCTTAACCCCATTCTAAGTTTCATTCTACAAGTAATCAAACCAAATAATGTCTCTCCAAATCCTCCATGTCTGTTGTGGCGCCACATCCTTCCCTTGCAGCAGTTCCAATACACTCCGGCGGATCGCCTCCTTCCAACACCATGGCGATCATGCACGCCTCTCTCTGCGCATCCTATGCAGCGGGCAACCTCCGTCACGGAGATCAGCCAATTACCAGCCAAACATATGGACGCATGACTCCATACGGTCACTCACAATCGACCACAAGGTTGATTTGTATTTTAATCTCTCTCTCTCTCTCTCTCTCTCTCTCTCTCTCTGTGATATGAATATGCGCGTACTTATTACTGTGACTTGAAAATCTAGATGGAGGAGGAACAGTGTGCTGTAAGGATAAACAAATTAGAGGAGAGAGTTGTGAAACTGATACAGGAGGAGAAGGAACTCGAGGTCCAACTTCAACTAATCGATCACCTACAACAGCTTGGTGTGGCATATCACTTTAAAGACGATATTAAGGATTCTTTAAGGAGCATTCATGGATCCCTGGAAGACAAAAGCATGCTGCTGAAGGAGAATCTCCATGCAACAGCACTTCTCTTTAGGCTTCTCAGAGAAAATGGTTTCGATGTTTCTGAAGGTGGTTCTGCTTTCTTACACCGGTCCTGTCTGATAATACTGCATAGAGTTTTGATGATGACCTGTGAAGGTCCACTTCAACCATTATCTAGTTTTCTGGACTAAAATTTACCAGCTATATGAAATATAGGAGATTTTACCCAGAAAAATCTCTATACGTTGGTTTTTTTACTAATGACCATTTCGACGAATTGGTATTTTACCAACAAAAAATCTCCACTAATTTATCACCTCCTCTGCCTCTTTCTCCTCCTCTTCCTCGTCCTACTCTACTTCCCTTTCTTGTTAGCTCCTCCTCTTTTTCATGCTCCTCCTCCTCCTATCTTTCCTTTTCCTCCTCTTCTTCATGCTCCTCCTCCTCATTGTATATGCTAACTATATAAGAAAGAAACTCATAAAACGTTTGTCTTGGTTTTGTTCATTTATGGTGCCGCAATCTAACATGGATGAACGTTGTGGCCAAAGATATGTTCCGCAGATTCAAAGATGAGAAGGGCCACTTCAAAGCTTGCCTCCAGCATCAGACAAAAGGAATGCTGAGCTTGTACGAGGCTTCCTACCTTGAAAAGGAAGGGGAGCTTGTCCTGAGCCAAGCTATGGACTTCACGACTAAGCACCTCAAGAAGCTCGTGGAACAGGGATCACTGGAGCCTCCTCTCAGAGAGCAGGTGGCCTATGCCTTGGAGCTTCCACTGCATTGGCGGATGCATAGGTTACACACCAGGTGGTTCATATATGCGTACCAGAGGGATGCCACCATGAACCCTCTGCTACTTGAATTGGCTAAGCTGGACTTCAACATGGTTCAGGGCATATATAAGAGAGAACTCAGTGAAGCCTCAAGGTAAATCGAGTTCACTCTCTTCTATTAGCCCGTGAAATTCGACACTATATATCGACCATAAAGATTTCTAACACCAAATTGTGGCTAGTAGATGGTGGACCGATATCGGCCTTGCAAACAGGCTGCCATTCTTCAGAGACAGATTGGTGGAGAACTATCTCTGGACCGTCGGCTGGGCTTTCGAACCACAATTTTCGAGTTACAGGGAGATCCAAACAAAGGCAAACTGCTTTATAACGATGATCGACGATGTTTATGATGTCTATGGTACCTTGGACGAACTCGAGCTCTTCACTGATGCTGTTGACAGGTGATGATCAGAATCTCCCGCCATTATCAACCACAATCTCATATTTTATTTCGGTTATTTCAACGTGTCCTCTGGCGGACATTTCAGATGGGACATTAATGCGATCGACAAGTTTCCGGAGTACATGAAGATGTGTTTTCTAGCAGTCTTCAACACTACAAATGAAGCAGCTTTTAGAATCACGAAAGAGAAGGGCTTGGACATATTACCCTACCTAAAGAGAGCAGTAACATACCATCGCTTTCTTTATCATCTTACTACGCCAATCACCTTATTTCCTTTACTGAGAGGAATACACTGTTATTGCTTCAGTGGGGAGATCTATGCAAAGCATACTTGGTGGAAGCAAAATGGTACCAGCGGGGCCACGTACCCAAGCTAAGTGACTACTTGGACAACGCATGGATGTCGATATCATGCCACATGTCTCTGACTCATGCTTTTTGCATGAGCGAAGACTTAACTCAAGATGCCTTGGAAAGCTTCCGGAGTTACCCAGAAATCACACGGCCGTCGTGCATGCTTCTGCGGCTTTACAATGATTTGGCTACCTCGACGGTAAAAACATTGCTTCATACATTTGAATCACTCGATTCATCTGCGTGATGATATTTCTTTGTTGCAGGCTGAGCTGCAAAGAGGCGACGTCGCAAAAGCCCTGCAGTGTTGCATGCATGAAAAAGATGTTTCAGAGAGTGCAGCACGTGAACACGTCGGGGGTCTTATCAGAGCCAATTGGCGAGCACTAAATGGGAACCATCCTCGGAACTGCTTCACGACTGTGGCCAGTAACACCCCTCGAGTGTCCCAGTTCATGTATGGAAATGGGGATGGATATGGCATACCTGGCGGAGAGACCAAGAACCAAGTCATGGCGTTGCTGATGGAACCAATTATGTTTTAGAGACATCATCTTGGAGTCGGAATGTATTTGAGGTTTCCTTATACGTCTGCTGTCAAAGTTTGCTTCTAATAAGGATGACTATTGTGCTAGGATTAAATGAATGAATCGGATTGAATGTTACGGTTTTTGATGGGATTGAATGAATTCAAAAATGAATCGGATCGGATGGATCGGTTCGATTCGATCTTTTCCTTAGAATGTTTCTTCTCCCCTCCTCTACTACAGATAGACTTCTTCTTCATCACCTCTCATTTCCAGGAGGGGAAGAACGAGATGGAAGTGGCACCTGAAAGCTTTTCCAATTACCCGTAAGTTGCATAATGCTCCAACACATAGTTTACAATGATTTGGCTATTCCGATAATATGCAATGCTAAACCAAGGAAATTGTTGTTGTGTTCTCGCTCGTCAATACAAATTATTGTGGGGATAGAAGATTGAGAAATATAAGAATGAACCAAAAGATCAATGAAAATGTTTACCTTGTTAGGCTCTATTTTCTTATCATATGAGAAAAATAAATGTAAGAAATATTTTTAAAAAGATCATAATTATAATCATATTCATCATAACAATCATAAAATTTATCACACCTATCAGAACTAATAATTATGATTTTTTATCTAATTATCTCTCGACTTCTTTTATGTACACTTCAAAATATCAATAACATCAGACAATTAGATATATAGTCATATCTTAATAGGCTATCTATAAAAGTGATAAAAAATCTCTCTTTATCAAAAATAAAAATATATAATACTCGTAGATATAAGCATATATAATCTCAAGGAGTTTATAAAACTATAATTTATCCAAATATTTGATTATAAATTTGTTATAAACTCAAGATTCACATTAATTTTGTATAGATAATAATATCAAATTGAAAGGTTAATTTTATTAAATTATACTAAATTTACCATCACTAAAAGAGAAGTAATATCCTGATAATTCTAAGTAAAGAACTCAAATTTTTAAAATTGTAAGAACATAACATGTATTATCAAGATCCATTAAATGAATCATCTTTAGGCATAGGCGATAAGTACCAACTACTATCACTTTCACTTTAAGATAATTCCTTATACCAATAAATAATTTATTCTCTTTTAATTTTTATATTAAAATAAATACTTATTTTTGGTAACATATGTTGAAGCGTCAAAATCAATCCACTAAGTATTAGAAAAGAATTTATATAATATTTGATTTGAAATATATAAAATGTCAAAGTTATACATTTCCCTTAACCAAACTATATAGTATTTTTTCACGTAACCTTTCTTACCACAAAAGTAGTACTTTACTATGAATATTTTCCTTTTATGAATTTATGTAGTATTTATAAACTCAAGTGATTTATAAAACATACAAAAGGGCAAAATTATACCTTTTCCTTTCTAACCAAACTCTATAGTCATTCTTAATATGACCTTTTTTGTCATAGAAGTAGTATTTTACTATAAATATTTTCCTTTTATGAGTTTATATAGTATTTATAAACTTAATTGATTTATGCTTTAATTTTCTTTTATTGTTACCCACTCTTTGAGTAATACCCAAAATATTATTAGTCTTTTATATTTTAATCTTAATTCTTTCTAAACACATATACTAGTTGGCTCATTTAAGTTTTATTTATCCTTAATTTTATTACAGTAAATTTTAAATAAATTAAACTATGAGAAAGAGGATTTAGAAAAAATTATATAAGAAAAAAACTTAATTGCAATCATGCTCAATGTTCTTAAGTTTATAAGTTTGTTATATTGGGGATATAATCTTGAATTCTTCAAATACTATTATACTGAATTTTAATTAGTTCTTTCATTAATATGTAGGCCAATGACTTATCATTAAATTTAAATTAATTTTTAAAATATTTTATTATGATAATTATATACTATAATGAAATCTAAATATTATTAGTAATTATTATAAAATTAAGTCTTTTAGACATTTTTTATTAATTATCATTTTTTTATGTAATTTAGTTTATGATCCTTTCAACTAATTTGATCAAAGTCAAATGCACCTAGTATCAATTATATATGCTCAAGCCATTTATAATAATTTATTCTAAAAAGTATGAACATTTATAAGATTGAAATGAAGAAAGTATCACTATAATAAAATAATGCTTTGAGTTTTTTTCATAATGTTGAACTATTGACATCATCTCTATTTCATATTTGGATAAAATATTGACATATCAAGTGTTCACATAAAATTATTTATGATAGATTGTTACCATACGCGTGAAATAGTATTGCTATATTTTTTGTATATAATTATAAATTATAAGAATATCCTAAACAATATCATCCTACCTCATCATATAATTATTCAAAATAAATTTTAAATTAAAATTATTTAAATCTCATAATCATATGTGTCATTATAAATATTAATTTCTTAATATCATTTAAAATTAATTCATTAATATAATTTTATAAGTTATTGGCGGGTATAAGACCAATACAATAATATAAAATATAATTTAAAATATCTTATAAATGATAAAAAAATTATTATAAAGTATTTTCCATAAGCCTATATCTATTACTTTGGTAGGGTAAGATAAAGTTTAGATATATAAGTTATAAATAATATTTATCAAATTTTTTAATCTAATTTATATCGATATAATTCACTAATAAAATAATAATCATAATAATTATTGAACATTATTTAGTATAAAGAAAAACTTATATGATAATTGTAATCATGATGAAACATAAATTATATCTTTATGTGAATAATCAAACAAATATCCAAAAATAATAATTAGATTTTTATTTATCATATGTAGAATATTATATTATATGAGAAAACTATCAAAATAATAATAATTTATATGCATTTTTAAAATTTTGTATTGAACCCTTATACTAATCAATCTTATTTAATTAGACAAACTCAGAATTGGACTAAATATTAACCCAATTAAATTAGTTAAAACTTTAAAATCGATCAAAATAAAAAATTAATTTTTTTTTAATTTGATCAAGACTTGATTGATCGAATCTAAATCCAATCCAGTAATAACAAATATAATTATGATCGGTTAGATCAAAGTATTTAATTAAAATAATTTAAATTAATTAATTTTATAATTAAGGACATTAATCAGAAATCTTAAATTTCAGAAAGGGAAAATTATAATTCTCACTTAGGATATAAAATAAGAATTTATAATTTTTGAAGTGCAAGAACGAAAGGTAAAATTTAAGGACACAAATCGAAATTATTTTATTTATTAGGGGTAAAACTATTTTTTTAGTCAAAAGAAAATCATAATCTCCTTTTTTGCGCCCATTGCACTAAGTGTGATTGTCATCGTGCATGAGGTGTCATAACAGTCGTTTGCAACCATTGTGCAAGGTATGGGTGTTGCCATTATGCGAAATTGTCGCATGTGCAGGGTGTGATCACCACCTATGCAAAGCACCACAACCGTCGTCTACGACCACTATGTGTAGTCACCACCTATGCATAGCCTTAGGCGTCTAGTAGTGGTGCTACTACAACTGCCACATGTAACGATGCGCAACTGCTATTGACAACTGGACGAGCAACCATCGGAGGCCGCTGCCCTTAACAATACTATCGCTGATAGCAAGTTGTTAGCAACGATCTATCGATCAAATACGGTAAATTTTATATCACCTGCAAGTAGACGATAAGATGGACTTGATAGAAAAGCAAATCAAAAAAACCGATGAATCATTCATGCATCATAAATAAAAATCAATTAACACATTTTCATGAACGAAAAGTGTTAACAAATAGATCTAATGTTTTTAATTTCAAAACCATGGGTTTGATATCAATTGAGCATAAACTCATAATATGTTATTGTTTTACGAAAAATTTAATGTCAACATCTGAAATCAAATAACAATAAATCTAAATTTACGATGTGTACATTTTGATGGTGCTCAAAAGATCTTTATTTGATATGCGGGCACACCATCATTAGATCGGAAAGCTATAGTGATGTCAATATATAAGCGATGGACTTAGGAACAAAGGGGAGACGAGAGAAGATCTGTAATCTTTAATTGATTGATTTACATGAATAAATAGAGATAAAAAAAATCTATAATCTCTTAATCATGTCGCGTATTTATGTCTCCACGCATTGTGTGTATACTCTATAGTAAGTCATATCGTTTCATACACACAAGCAAAGGGTCCATGATAAGTAATTAGAATAGTCGCTTCTATCAAAGTTTCCTCCTAGGGTATCCTATCATAGTTGGACTTACTTTTTATTAACTAATAATTAAAATTAGAATTCAGTTATATCTATAATATATCTTATCTAATTAGATAAAATCACATAAGAACCTCACCATCGTCCTTGCCTCAAAGTCTTAGCTTGTCGACAAGACTGTCGACCTTGCCCATACTGCCAACGATGAGATCCTCTATGGCCACCACCTCATCGCCGATATTCATTATTGGTGGACCATCACCATTGTCACCAACCACAACATTTCCTCGAGGTGTTTCCCCAACGCATGATGTTCAACCTCTTCCCCTTTCATTGAAAGATTTAGGATCGTCAGGTAGTCACCATCTTGGATCTGTCGGATCGACCCTCGTTAGAGTAAGACCGCATGAGCAACACATGGGACCGGATGAAGAAGGCGAAGCTAACCTGCCACCATGTGGTAGTCAACATGTCTCAAAGTACGTTGATGTTTCGCACTCGCTTGTAATATAATCACAGCCACCCTTAATCCATTGACCAGTGACCCATGAATCCTCAGATTAAACAGTTTACAACCATTCAAGAATTCGAATGGAATGGAGAGAACTAATTAGAGAGATCGACCATGCTTTATACTTTTCAATGTGGATGCCATGTTTTCCAAGGTATCTCCTCTATTCCATCCTTCGATTTCTCGATGACTTTCTTCTGGTTCTTCGGATTTAATTTCTTGCACTATTGGTGTTGTAACATCTTCTAATATTTTGGGATCATACTCTAAAAGAATCGACCTAATTATACCATCGACGACTTAAACATGTCATAGTATTTTGATACAATGACTAAGAGAATTAATCTCATTTCACTAAGAATTGAAAGAGTTGAATTATATATCTTAGGTTCGGATCGTTACTTGAAACCTAAATTTTTTGAATTAAATTCATGTTCAAATTGATATAAGTTAATCTTGACCAAATCAAACTATGTGTTTGACTAAATAAAGATATGGATGGCCATTTGAGTCTCGGGATCTCTCCACCTGTATTGGAGAAGTGCTGTCACCATTCCCAGAAGAAAATAATTTAAAAGAATAACTTCTAAAATATAATGATTAATATTTTAGAATTAAAGCTTATTGAGGAGTATTTTTTTATTTTTTTATCATTGGAAATCTATGATTCTAGTTAATTGATAAATGATCAACCAACGGTTTTAAGATCACGAGAGAGAAGATAAATGATCGATATAGACGACAAAGATACGCTAATACCATTCAATGTAACTAAAGATTTTTCTCCTCTCACCATAAATCAAGATACTGTAATAAATGTTTTACTTTATTTGAATCATTCATTCCCTTATTTGTGTAATATGGTTAAGAAAATAACTAAATATAGTTTCAGTGTGAAACAATTAGAAATTTAGTCAATTAATTAAATACTTATTAATTAATTAATTTCCTAATAAGTGATGACTTTTAAAAATAAATATTTTTCTTTTTATTTTTTTTAATACATAAAAATAAAATAATATTTCTTAATTTTTATCGGAGGACTCATCTTCGCCTACATAAAGAGAGCTCTATCTCCGTTATTCGTTATAGAGGCAAGAGAGGATTGAAGAGAATATCTTGTCGAAGACCGGTGAGTCCTCTCTTTTTTTTCTTACAAGTTTTAATTTTTAATTTTAAAATTTTTATATTTGAATTACTATAATTTTTATGGTGCATAATAATATTTTTAATTTCATAATTTTATGATTAGTGAATAATGATCATAGAATTTTTGTGTTAAAATAATTACTTAATTTCATGTTGATGATACTTGACTTGTAATGATCTTTTAAGCTTAAATCATAAGTTGATGCATGTTAAGATTGATTTAATTATTAAAATTCTTATTTTTAGATAATAATAATAATTCTAATTTATTTAATTTGATATACCTTTATTTAAGAAATTATGTGTGAATTTCTAAATTTAGGATCATGAATTTACTAGATTGTTTAATTATGAAAATATGTTTTTAAATTTAATTATTTAGAAGTCTTTTTTAATGAATTAATTTTGAAAGTTTGAACTGTTGCAGGTTATGTGACTTACAGTATCCACTCAAGTCTCATCGGAACTGTCGTTCTAACCTTTCTAATGTACCCTTGTCCAATCCGTACTGATATTTTCATCCCCAACCTGCGTGGATTACAGCGTTTTCTGTGGCAATATTTCTCACAGTTCAAAAGCTACTATTCATCTGCTGGTACCATCCTATCAGTGGCAAACAGTCCTCTCATTCCCCGAGCTGTGAGGTCTTCGACGGCACCACCTAACTCCATACGTTTGCTTTGTACTCTTTCCTGAAGTTGCTTCTTCCAGTGGCCACAAAAACACTGACCACATATAGACCACAGTCTCGAGCTCTACATAAGAAGACAACCTCAGATCTAGTCGACCAGTAGGAGCTTCTGCAACACTCAAGCCCGAAGGATAACATTTAATGGCTCTCCTCTTCCGTGCTCCATCCTTTACCGGTAACCTCAACGCTCTCCGGCGGACCACGCTCTCCGAGCGTCCAAGTCCAAGCATCCGCTTCAGCGCGCAAGCAGCTCCCACACGGAGAACGGCCAATTACCAGCCAAACTTATGGAGTGACGACCGGATACAGGCACTCACAAGCCGCTCCGTCACGGTGGGTTTGTGTATATATACACTGCACTTGTTCACATTAACTTCTGAAGTCGCTTCTTCGTATGAAACATGTCAAGATGATGATAAGATCATATTTGCAGCATAATTACAAGGCTTTAGCTGAGTTGATCGATGCGCAACGCGGCTTCGAATGCAATGGTGGATCCATATCTAGAACTCAAGTAGCGAAGAAAAAGTGAATCACGTAATCAAATCCAAACCAAAATAGTATTATTTTGTATTATGATGACAGTACTATCAAGATAGAACAAATCATGGATCGGTCGTAGCATTATTTTACGTTATTATAATATAATAAAGGAGTTGTGCGTACTTTATGAAGAAAACAATGTCAAGAAGTTTTGGCTTCACTACACGACAGGTTGACCGTCTTCCTCACGACATCCTCTTCCCCTGAATGCTATGAGTTGACTTTGTGTGAACAGTATTAGATGTGACCATCCACCCACGTAGCCTATGGTGTAAATTATATTTGGTCTATTTACTTTAGTTTTTGTCATATGTTTAGTCTAATGTTTTTGTCATACTTTAGTCAAATAGAATGAATATTGTGAAATTTTATTCTTTACATATCGAGTAGATAACAACTAAATTTATATTACAAATTTTAAATATTAGAAATAGTTACGTGTCTCTCTGTTTTACGAGTAATCAATCGTCTTTGTATGTACAAACACATATGGTTGATTGTTGTAAATTTAGGTCGAAGAGGAGCGCAAGACTAACGGGATAGATGATTTGAAGGAGGATGTTAGGAAACTGATATATGAGAAGAAGGAAGTCGAGGACCAACTTCAACTCGTGGATCACCTACAACAGCTTGGTGTGGCTTATCACTTCAAAGATGATATCGATGATGTTTTACGGTGCCTTTACGGATCTCTCGAAGACATCAACATGCTTTTAAAAGATGATCTCCATGCCACGGCACTTGGGTTCAGGCTTCTCAGAGAAAACGGGTTCGATGTTTCCGAAGGTGATTCATATTTCAGATTAAATCCTTTTTTTTTTCTCTTTAATCATCATGTCGCGATCTGACATGAACATGTTTTGTGGACAAAAAGATTTATTCAACAGATTTAGAGACGAGAAGGGCGACTTCAAAGCTAGCCTGCAGCACGAGACCAAGGGAATCCTGAGCTTGTATGAGGCTTCCTATGTCGCAAAGGAGGGCGAACTTGTACTGGATCAAGCTACGGACTTCACCACTAAGCACCTCAAATGCCTCATGGAGGAGGGATCGCTCGAGCCTCGTCTCAGGGAGCATGTGGCACACGCCTTGGAGATTCCACTGCATTGGAGGATGCAGAGGTTGCACACCAGGTGGTTCATAGAAGCATACCAAAGGGAAGCCACCATGAACCCTGTTGTGCTTGAATTGGCTAAGCTGGACTTCAACGTGGTTCAGGGCATGTACAAGGGAGAACTCCGAGAACTCTCCAGGTAAACTTGGATAGCTTGAGCTTAGTTCTGTTCTCATCGATTTACCGGCAAACCTTCTAAAGCAAAGTTGTTCTTGATATTAGATGGTGGACCAATCTCGGGCTTGCACAGAAGCTGTCATTTTTCAGAGACAGGTTGACGGAGAACTTTCTGTGGACCGTAGGTTCTGCCTTTGAGCCACAATTTTGGGAGTGCAGGGAGATACAGACAAAGGCAAACTGCTTAATAGCAATGCTGGATGACGTTTATGATATCTACGGCACCTTGAACGAACTCGAGCTTTTCACCGAAGCCATTGAAAGGTGATGAGGATCCCCTGCCATCGCAAGGATTTGAACTTTATATATATCGTCTTGTGTTTACCGTTATTCTGCTGCTCATTTCAGATGGGATGCTAATAAGATCGACAAGCTTCCCGATTACATGAAGCTGTGTTTTCTGGCAATCTTCAACGCGGCAAACGAGACAGGTTACAGAGTCATGAAGGAGAAGGGCTTGGACATAATACCTTTCTTAAGGAAGGCAGTAAGACACATTAATTCTTTCTTCCTTTCCTTTGTACATCAATCACCTGGTTTCTTCTCTCTATACAAACTCTCTACTCCTCGTGGTTCAGTGGACGGATCTATGCAAAGCGTTCCTGTTGGAAGCGAAATGGTACAACCAGGGCCACAAGCCAAAGCTTGACGAGTACTTGGACAACGCGTGGATGTCGTCCGGCGGTCATGTCTTCATGACCAATGCTTATTGCATGAGCGACAACCTGACGAAAGAGTCGCTGGAAAGCTTCTCCACTTACCCCAAGGTTGCTAGGTGTTCGGCCATGCTGTTCCGCCTCTACAACGATTTGGCTACTTCGACGGTACGTCAAGCTAAACCATGGAAGCCGTACACATGTTCTCCCTCATCTGTGCTTCTCACCGGCGCTAACAAATCCTATGGTCGGTGTGCAGATCGAGCTGGAAAGAGGAGATGCGCCGTCGTCGATCCAGTGCTACATGCTGGAGAGTGGTGTTCCAGAGACGGCGGCACGCAAAAAGATCAGGGAACTGATAAAGGCCAACTGGAGAGGAATAAATGGAGATCGGAGCTCTTCGTATGGGGAAATCTTCAAGACGGTGGCAGTCGGCCTCCCTCGGATGTCACAGTTCATCTACCAACACGGAGACGGATACAGCGCACCCGATGGAGAGACCAAGAAACAAATCATGTCGTTGCTGTTCGAACCCCTCCAGCTCTCGAAATTGTAAGCTCGCTGTAACGTGGATGACCCATTCGAAGAAGGTTGCAACGTTCCATGAAATAAGTGACATATAGTTAGGTTTGGAGATTCAGAGTTTATAAAGAAGGTAGAAGGATAAGAAAAGAAGATATGTTACACAGTGAATTAGCATACAAGGACTTGGTTTTTTTTTTAATAAAAAATAAAAAAATATTTCTATCATATTAAAAGTCATAAATAATTTGGGATGTCGGTCCTAACGGTAGGTTTGTATGGATATGACTTTAGTCTTATGAGCTGATATCAATGTAAATAAAATTTCGTTGTCAACTTTTTATTTGATTTTCTTGACGACGGTTTCGATGATCTATAAAATAATAATAATAATAATAATAATAATAATAATAATAATAATAATAATAATTGCTTGACTATCGTTGGTCTGAACTTAATTAAAACAAGTATAATATGATTTATTTATATCATTAAATTATAGTAGATGAAATTGATTGACTAAGTCATCCTATTTTCCGAAATAGTTTATATTTATATATTGTTTATACTATGAGATCCAAGAATATATATATATAT